CCACCTTTCCACAAAAATCCAGTCAGGGTAGGAACCTTAGTTAGTCCCAGTGTCAGGTACATGAATCTGAAGTGAACCAGTCATTTTCTCAATGCCAAAGTCACTCTAACAAGGTATCTCTTTATGCCAGCAAATTATGAGTGTTCAATTGTCACTGAATGGGTTGCTCTCAATTCTCAACTAATTTTTGCAAATTACGATCATTTGAAAAGGGGGCATCAAGTGATATACGGCCTTTTGTCAATTCTAAAATGCGCACAGCATTTCAGTCTTAAAAAAGTACGTCCTTTTCATTTCTTCTTCTAGAATATGTATCACTGGTTTCGAGGAATGGAACACTAAATACTTTATTCTAGGCATAGTTTTGGCAGTTTACCCCACAGCAGAGGTGATCGAAGAGGACATCTGCTCTTACTGGATATGGTATGGTACTCCAGTGGCGCTGTCGGGTAAGCTTTAGACAGCGAACTCCAAGCCCACAGGACTCTAAGGGAGAAAGAGGCCGCTATCTGCTCCCATAAAGCCCGAGACCTATTTAGGAATTAATTCCAACTCAATGGCAGTGAGTAGGAATATTATTACAGTTTGTGAACTAAGAATCATGAAGACAAGGCTAAGAATCTTAAATGTTATCTCTGAAAATGCTTTGAAAATGATGACAACATATGTACAAAAGTTTATGATTACGCAGATTGCTATGAGCCCTGAATAAAATGATTTATTAAAAAACAAAGAAAAATAGACGAGCCAGTCAGGGTGCAGGGTAGCAACGATGAAAGAAACAACTTTCCTCTAGTTCTTAAATGCTTCCTCCCCCCACTATCATAACCCCAATTCTACCTTACAAATCTGGCTAGACCAGAGGATGTACATTGGTACAGACAGGAACTGGAAACACAGGGAATTTAGGACAGATGATCCCTTCAGGTGTCCTGAATTCAGGTGATCCCTTCACCAGTGGTGAGAGTGGTGATACCAGGAGGATGGAGGGAAGATGGGGTAGAAAGGGGGAACCAATTACAAGGATCTGCCTATAACCTCCTTCCTGGGGGCTGGATAACAGAAAAGTGGGTGAAGGAAGCCATCGTACAGTGTAAGACATGACAAAATAGTAATTTATAAATTATCAAGGGTTCATAGGGAGCGGGGAGGGAGAAGAAAAAATGATGAGCTGATACCAAGGGCTCAAGTAGAAAGCAGATGTTTTTAGAATAATGATGGCAACAAATGTACAAATGTGCTTGACACAATGGATGGATGTATAGATTGTGATAAGAGTTGTACAAGCCCCCAATAAAATGATTTTTAAAAAAGAAAGAAAAATAACGGGTACAAATGTGTGTGATACCATCGATGTATGGATTGCTATAAGAGCTGTAGGAGCCCCCAAAGAAATATTTTTAAAAATTATCTTTGCTGTGATATTCTGAATAAACAACGTACACCATGATTTACAATCAATTGAGAAAACTATGGTTTATTTAGAAAAAAGGTTACACTGGTAGAATTCAGTTGATAAAAAAATTCGCTTTAAAAATGTCACCGTGAAACTTTTCCAGATGAATGTTCAGCAATACAAAGCTTCCGATGCTGTAGAATTAAAAGACAATTAACTTCAGAAGTCCCCTCTCCCTAAGATTTGACTAACATAATTACAAGAAAATACAAGGCAAGTGCCAAGTGCTGGTACTTGTTTTCTTGCTTAAACAGGTTTTTAATGTTGTACACACAAACTATATAAAAGGATCCCTACACATTGCATAAGACACTGCTTCTGCTTTGTTTTTAGTGACTAATATTTAAAAACAGCCAAATAATCAATTAAAACTGCATTTTAAAATGAGGTAAATTCAAATGGTTCAATAACGGTTTATTTTCAGTTTCAACCAATAAAAAGAAAGCATTTCAGATTAAAAACAACTAAAACCCAGGCAACGTTTAATTAAGGGAAAATTCTATACACATATAACCTTATTTGCTTGTTGGGAACTGTATGCAGCACATTGTGCTAAAAATATGGAAGTTAACACTTTCAGTCATTCACTGAAAATAAACATGTAGAAATTAAGCAACAAGTTAAAATACAGTAATGCACAATTCATTAATTTTCAGCATGGAGCAATAAAGTAAATAACTAAATAATTTACGATGAAATGGGCCCTCATCATTCACAACTGCTTGGCAATCTATTCAGGAAAATAAATTTCTGTCACAGCTGAACCACTTTCTTCCAATCTTACCTGAAAGAAACAAAGTTATTATGTGGATGAATGGATGGATGGATGGAAGGAAGGAAGGAAGGAAAGGGAAAGAAGGGAGAAAGACAGGAAGAAGGAAGGAAGGAAGGGGCAAGAAGGGAGAAAGACAGGAAGGAGGAAGGAGAACAGAAGAAAGGAGATTAATTGATTTAAGGAAGTCAATGAGTTCCATCTTTCACAAGCATCTGAATTAAGTGCCCTGAAAACATTCTGAGTGTTTTTTGTTGTCCACTCTTAGAAACCATTAAAGATTGGAACATTATGATGACTATAAAAACGCTGAACATTGTGTGTGTGTGTGTGTGTGTGTGTGTGTGTGTGTGTGTGTGTGTGTGCATGCATGTGAGGGGGGGGGCATGAGCGCGCAGGCGGAGACAGACATAGAGAGAACTGGAGTGGAGAAAAAATAGCAACAAATAAAATATTCCACAGAGGCAAGCAGTAGCAATGAAAAGGGTCTGATTTCATATGATCAACATCCAACAAAATAAAACAGAGAAATGATATCACATTTTTATAAGGACATGATTTTAATAGTAACTTATATTAAGATGCAATGTCAGCTAAATTATAAAAATTGCTTTAAAAATATATCGACTCGATTTATACTCGTTTCCTTTCATGTATTGACATTTTTCAAATACTGCATATTGAAATAAATTCAAAACGATCATTACAACACGTGGCAAATAATTTCCTATCTGCCTAACATTGTTCTCATTCAATTTTCAAACTAATGCTTAACGCATTAACTTTTATTGATGAAAATACTACATTCACATAATTGACAAAACCCAGAGCTACAAGGGGCCTTTAAAAAAAATCAGTGCACTTCCATGAAATGCTGACACATAATTTACATAGTTTCTACACAAACATTCTGTTCACATGAGTAATCTTAACATTACCAATTATAGTTGTGGATACACTAATTTTAAACTCATAATTTTAATACTTAAAAATCATTTCTGTTCATCATTGATGAATATATTAAAATGTGGTACACCTTCATACAATGGGGTAATTCAGTCATAAAAAGGAATGATACATGCTACCTCATAGAAGAGCCTTGAAAACATGATGCTAAGTGAGAGAAACTAGAAACAAAAGATAACATATTTCATGATTCCATTTAATAGGAAATGTCCAAACTAGACCAAAATATAGGGGGGAAAGGAAGCACATTAGTGGTTTCCAGGGGTCAGAGAGGAGAACTGGGAATTACTGCGAAGGGACACAAGATCTCCTTCTGTCGCTTTAAATGGTGATTCTGTTGTTATCTCAATAGGGAAATTGGAAAAATAAAGGCGAATGTTCCAATAAAGAGCAACGAGATTTATCAGTATGATCATTAACTAGAAGGGTAAGAAATTGGTCTCATACTGGGAGAATTAATGGGCAAGGAAAATTCTGGTAAAGTATTTAAGGGCACATTAATGAATACAATTGCTGATGCTGTTAAAATATGAAAAGAAGTGCTTTCCCGGGAACACACAAAAAAGGTTTTTGCTTTTAACAAGAAGCCCAAATCCTCAAGCAATGTTATCATCTCAATATTGTCAGACAAGTAAGAGTTCGCACACAAAGACAGTCTCTATCTACATCATTACAGAATTGCTTCCAGGAGGGCGATTTCCTCTCTCTTCAGAGAAAGAAGGATGAGCTAAAGTTCAGTTACTGAAATTTTCAGGAGATGCTGCTTCTGGTAGGGCGGATCTCAATTACAGACTGCATACACAGGGACCTTGCTGCAAGAAACTGTCTGGAGGTGGAAGTGTTCTGAAAATTAGTGACTTTGGAATGTCTCGTCAAGAGGATGATGGTGTGTACTCATCTTCTGGTTTAAAGCAGATTCCCATTAAATGGACAGCACCAGAAGCTCTTAATTATGAGAGAGATCATTCTGCGAGTGGCGCATGGAGCTTTGGCATCCTCCTCTGGGAGACCTTCAGCTTAGGGGTCTGTCCATACCCTGGAATGACAAATCAGCAGGCAAAAGAGCAGGTGGAAAAGGGATACTGGGTGTCAGCCACCAACAGCATCCAGAGGATATTTATAAAATAATACTCGAGTGTTGGGATCACCAACTTAAAAACCACCCCAAAGTCAGTGCACTTTCATCAAGAGGTAGATGCTACCCAGAAGAAAGTCACACCGTGATGAAACAGTGTCCAACTCCATTCCAGCAGTGCCAGTTTTCTTCTCGCGCCGCTTATACCATGACACGTTGCCTCAACATTCTTCTAAGGTTATTTTTTATTAACGATTCTCTAAACCGGCGTGGATAAAGCAAGCACAGGTTCTATACCACACCAAGGACTGTTGATGTTTTGTAAAGGTTTTCTACAGATCTGCAGTCGTCCTAAAGCACACCTGCTGGTTTGGTGGAAAATTGCACTGGTGCAATCCTGTTTGCGGCCATGTTCCAACAAAAGGTGGCCATCTACTCAGGACAAGATTATATTTCTCAGCATCATTTTTTTCTTTAATGGGGCATAGTCTGGGTCTACTTGCTTTTTGTTCTATCGGTAGACTTATCATTTCCCTATGTTTTACCGAAGTCATCACCTCCTTTGTTAAGTCCTCAAAGGGGGAGGCGGAGAAAACTAGGTATCCCTTTTCGAGTGGAGTCTAGCTGCTTGCCCACATTTTAGCGAGCTACAATAGCAAGAAGGAAATCTGAAAGGAAGGCCATCTAGAGGCGAGAGCAGTGAGCAAAGTAGAAGGGGAAAATGCTTCAAACCGGCCTTCTTCCCAGAGGCCATTAAAAACACAGAATTTTTAATTTACCAAATTTACCAAAAAGATCCTATATGAAACCAGGAATCAGGTGGAATCAGAAGTTCAGATTCCTCATAAAAGAACCCTCTTCATGACAGCAAAAAACAATTTGGAAAAACTATAAAACAAAAAAGCTCATAGAAGTAATAGCTTACTCTATGCTAAGTGCCTCAAAGGGGCAATTAGCCCCTCAAAGGGGGCCCCTGAAATTTAGCACACAGCCCCCTTCACTTGTACCAGTATCTGGAACTGTTAGGATACCATGTTCCTAGTTCACAAACATAGCTGTGTGCCTAAATTCAGACAATCATGCACATGCACACACACAACCAAAGAGCAAGGCAGATATGGATGAAGTTGACAGTTAAGAAGTCAAATGACATTTATGAGACAGGAAGAAAGAAATTATAAGGAGAAAGACAGAGACAGGTATCTTATTTCCACTCTACTCCTTTTTTCATCCTGATATTGTTACCTGAGATTTTGTACCAAGTGAATAAAGTGTAAAAAGGAGTTGAACCTGAGATTCGGATGAGCTGAATCTGAACTGCGTTTGAGAATAAATGTGTATGAGGAGCTTCAAAAATTCAAGGAAAACTTCCGTTATCTTGTCATCCATTTTGTAAAGTTTCCCCTTGTATATAGGGAAACTTGTGTCTCACTCAGGGGTAACTGTGGCAGGGAAGCATTTTATAACTGCTCATGTCCACATTATAAAAATAGGTGAAAGAGTAAGGAAACAGAAATTCCTCCTCCCCGGAATATCAGGGCATGGAACCTATTCCCAGTACTTTCAAAGAAAAGGAAAGATGGTAAGAGAGAAATGGTTTGTGCCTATCTTTCCAATCTCCTAACAAAAGTTACATTAATGATTACTACATACAGACCACAATGAAAGTATAATAAAACTTGCCCTCAACAAATATGGTGGAGCCCTCAAGCAGCTTCACTGGCTTCGCCATCCAACAAGGGTTGGGAATACACTGAGCCGCCTTTGAATGGCAGAAAATGCACGGCTTCATTTTCCCTCATAAATGTTCACACCAGATCCCAGAGACACATTTCATACCTCTGTAGAGAGCTCTCTATCTAAAGCTTAATAGTGTCTAAAACAGAGCAGAAAAGACAGCCAGTTGACTGAGGAAGAAAGAGATGCCTTCAAAAAAGAACCCAATCTGTGGGAGGGGCAACACAATCAGCAATATTCATATATGCACAGGAAGCAGTGACTCGGCCTCCATAGACATGCCCACATGTAAGCAATCAGAGGTTAGAGAGAAAGAAACAATCACGCATTGTCTACCCTTACCAGTATCTAGGACTGTGACTCAGGGTCCAAGAACGGACTGGAAGAACAAAGTGCTTAGAGCAGGAGTTGCAAAACCAGCTGTAAGCTAGGTTGGAACTGGCTGTGGCAAACTGTAAAAAGTTCACCCTATAAAAGGGGAGCAAGCACTTAGGCAGGTCTGGCTGATTATTGCCCTACAGATAACAGGGCACAATGGGGCCAGATGCTGCTATACCTCAGGAAACACTACAATTTGGATTTCTGTCATTTCTCATGATTTTTTAAAGGTAACAGAATCTTAATACTCCGAAAACAGTGTGCAAAGCCAACAAGGTATATCTAATAAGCTACATTCTGCCCAAAGGCAGACAAAAATTGGCAACCTTGAGTTTAGAGGGTAAAACTCTTAGGTTACACACACACATATACTGAAAGATATGTGTGTATATATATATGTGAAAATAGAGGTAGAAGATGGCCAATCGAACATGGCTGGTGGAGAGGTTTAGAATAAGAATGCAGCAGGCTAAAAATACAGATGATACAGATGAGTAAAAAAAGCGCTAACTACTATTGCTCTTGAAAATCAAAGTCATAAAAATAAGGAAGAGCACAGAGATTGAGCCTCTCAAAGTCTGAAAGTAACAGAAGAACACTTAACCAATAAAAAAACAAACAAACAAAGAATGCTCAAAAGGCTGCTGAACTCAACATTCAAAGGTGAGCAAGAGTTGTGGACCACACATATTAAAAGAAAATGGAGATGTGTAATGCACACAGGAGGGAGCATGAGAATGGGTTGTGATTGCATAAATCGTCTAGAGGGCGATTTAACCATGGGGGGGGCTGCTCTAAAATTTATGTGGGGGTGAATGTACAATTTTCAGTGATATGATTGAAATATTAATTATAATATGTAAATTACTTGTCAAAATGTTGGAAAACTTTTTTTAAGAAAATGGGAGATGTGGATGAAGTGCCAATAAAACTATTTTCAAAAATGGGATAGGGGACAGTTTTGATAGGCGGGAACATTTAAGAAGAGTAGAATGTGAGAAAAGGTTCAAGGCAAATCTGCTGGCGGTCTTCAGGAGAATACATCAAAGAGGGCTGAGGGGAATGTAGATGAAGCTTTCAGCTCTAACAGGTAACAGAAGATGTAGAGGACAAGCAAAAATTATTTTGCAACTAAAAATATGAAATGTGAAAAACATAAGACTGCAAGTAATTTCATCCAGGCCTGTCTTTTCTTAGTTCTGATATAATCATTGTAATGACTCTGAAATCAGCTTAGAAATCAGTTATTTCTCTAGCCACCCTTTCCACAAAAAATGTTCTCAAAACCTGCAATGAGTATGATGAGTAATGACATCTCTGAATCACAAAAGCATGAAATATGTATCAGCTCTCTGTTCTACAAAATGAAAAAATATATAAAATAGGAAGAGGGGGGCCATCAGATTTAGTAGTAGCCAATAGGTAGATTTCACATGCACATGAGGCAACTGAAAACTATTATGGCTTGGGTATTGACACTGGACTTTGGAAAAAGAAGCCCGAAGAAGAATCCATGTGGTGGCGGAGAAGAATTCTGAAAATACCATGGACTGCTAAAAGGACAAATCAATGTGTCTTGGATGAAGTATGGTCAGAGTGCTCCTTAGAGGCAAGGATGGTGAAACTTCGTCTCATGCACTTTAGATATATTGTCAAGAAGAGACCAGTCCCTGGAGAAGGACATCATGTTTGGAAAAGTAAAGGGACAGCGAAAAAAGAGTAGGCCCTCAATGTGTAGACTGACACAGTGGCAGCTACCATGGGTTCAAGCACAGGAACAACTGGGAGGACGGCACAGCCCCGGGCCGTGTTTCGTTCTGATGTGCGTCAGGTCGCTAATGGTCATAACAGACTGGAGGGCACCTACCAACAAAAACAACAACAACACAGGTAGATGGTGCAGATGACAAGGAATGAGAGCCCTAAGGAAAAGGAAGAAAAATTTAAATATGCGACCAACTCTAATAAGCAGAGAAAAGTACTACGTATTAGGTTATATATCTGGCAACTTAAAGTACCACGTTGGCAGCCCAAATAAATACCCTAAAGCTCATTCCCTTGTAGAGATAAGATTCTCTTACATTTCTCACTCAAATACCTGTAAGAGCAATGGCTACCTATCTGGTTTCACAAAAGACTAGCAGCAGGAACTATTAGCAGTTGAGGGACATGAGTTGCAATTGACCTGACAAGAAACTATCAACAGCAGCACAGACAGCAAGTGAACTCATCATTAGTGACAGCTAGCATGGGACGGGAAAATGGGTGATTACAAAACAAAAACAAAACAGTAAAAACCAAGCAAAGATGGCTATCCAGAGAATGACCTTAAAGTGATCAAAAAAGGTTTAGGACACTCTGCCCACTAAGGAAACATGTCATTTCTTTTTATGTTATTTTAATTTTTTTAATAAATCACTTTGGTATTTAAGACAGTCAGCTTGTTTTACCTGTTAAGTTTCATATAAGGCAAAAATAAATTAGCTTGAAAACAGCAACAGATTACCAATTTCAGAACTAAAAGTACAGCTGACCGGTTTGAGCATTGCAAAAATGTGGGCAGCAATAGGAAAACTGGTACAGAAAACTTGGCAGAAAAGATCTTTGGCTAGCATGTCCACATGAGATGCCCTAACAAACCAAAAGGGGCTCTGGGCACCCAGAGAGGAGCCTCGGTGGTACAGTGGTTAGATACTCTGCAGCTAACAGAAAAGTCGGTGGTTTGAACCTCCCAGCTACTCTGTGAGAGAGAGATGTGACTGTCCGCTTCTATGAAGATTTACAGACTCAGAAAGCCGATGGGGCCATTCTGCACAGTCTTAAATGGTCAATGTGAGTTGGAGTCAACTAAGCAGCAAGGGGTTTACTTTTTAAAGAGGGAGATGAATTGTCTAGAGAAGAAAATGAGAACGAGCAGTAAAGAGAAAGTCAAATGTTTGAAAATACACCTTGGTGCTTAAAAATAAAGTGTGGTTTTAACCAGCAAGCTTCAAATGAAAAAAAAAATTTAAGTGACGTGAATCTTTTTTCGTATCCCTATTCAAAGACTTGGTCATTATACTGTGGAACAAATTTCAAGTAGCTGTACCTCACAAAATGGATCGAGTCTCTTCAACAATGCCAAACCTGATTTTCTTTTCCTGCCTTTGAAAAAGAATAAGGAAGTGAGAGAACACTCACCTTGATAGAAAGTCTTCATTATCTGTGCTTATCTGAGGACTTATGAGTAGATGACAAATTAAGGGTAAACAACTTTCAGGAAAACCAACACCTGGTCACCTTTTAGTACAATCTCTCAGCTTGCAGGTCTAATTCGCTGACCGGCCTCAAAACCACAAACTCTACCAGCTCTGCTTGCCAGCTGCATTATTTTGGCCTTCTACTCCCCATGCCTCCCTCCAGCTCAAAAAATCACCAGCCTCAACTTCCTCTCAGTGTTAATACAGAGGGCCTCTAAATTCCTTGGCACCATGAAACAGCCTCAGCCATCGCAGAAGTTAATCCAAGACATCAAATCTCCGACTCCTTCCTGCTATCGTACATTTATACTAGAGAGACCATTTCGACGCGAACAAGCACTTGAGCATTTAAACCACATACAAGAGTACAATCCTGAAACAGGACCAGTATCGAAGCTTCCCATTTCACTGACTGAAACATTTCAATGAAAAGGATATTGTTTCTTCTCTTCCTTTCCTCCTGAACTATCCCGTTTTTCTTTCTTCTCTATCTTTTCTTTATCATGCCTGGATTCCTATAACGGATGGTGGGATTAGGTAGGGAAGGAAAAACCAAGTATCAAAATCAGCTCAACAATCCATTTCGGCACCCACCTGTCAAAATGTTTCCATAATAGTATATTTTATACGCCACCCAAAAGTACAAGCAACAAAAGAAAAAATAGACAAAGGGGACTTCATCAAAATTAACAACTTTCATGCATCAAAGGACACTATCAAAAAAATTAAGACAACCTAGATAATGGGAGAAAATATTTGTCAACTGTGTATTCTAATATCCAGAATACATAAGGCACACTTACAAGTCAACACCAACAAAGCAGAGAGCACAAATAATCAATTGAGTGAAGGACTTGAACAGACATTTCTCCAAGGATATACAAATGATCAACAAGCACATTTAATAATGCTCCGCATCATTAGTCATTCGGGAAGTGCAAATCAAACCCCACCATTCATTTCCATTAAAATGGCTATTATTTAAAACAAGAAACACAACAGAAAATAAGTGTGGGTAAGACTGGGGAGAAATCAGCACCACCACCCCCTCCCCATACACTGCTGTCGGAATGTAAAAACGATGCGACCACTGTAGAAAAGTTTGGTGGTTTCTCAAAGAGTTACACATACAATTACTATAATGATCTCGCAATTCTACCCATAGGTATATGCCCAAAAGAACGGAAAACAGACATCCAGATACATTGTTGCACAGGAATGTTCATAGCAGTGTTATTCACAGTAGCCAAAAGGTGGAAGCAAGCCAAGCGTACAGCAACAGTTGAATGGAAAAATAAAAGGTGGTATCTATCTATCTGCATACACACACACACACACACACACACACACACACAATGGATTATTATTCAGCCACAAAAACAATGAAGTACTGCTACATGCTACAAGATGGATAAAGCAAAATACTTAGTGAAAGAAGCCAGACACAAAAGGGCACACATTTTACATGGTTCCATTATACGGGCTATCCAGGTAAAACCAGAGACAGAAAGCAGATTAGAGGCTGTCGGGAGCTGAGAGGAAGGAGTAACAGGGTTTCCCTTTGGGGTGCTTAAGAAGTTTTGGAACTAGACAGAGTGGACATTTACACCGTGTTCTGAATGTACTAAATTGAATGTACTAAAACGCTACTAAATTGTGCCACGTTCATTGTTAAAGTTAGTTTTCTGTTATGTAAAATTCTCCCTCTATGAAAAATAAACAAATTTACAAGGATCAGTCTCTTGTAACGTATAAGGGAAAAAATTTTTCTCTTTGGCAAACAGAAACTTTATTATGTTTGTATAACAGCATTTTATGCTTTTTTGCCAATTGCCTTCGGAGCAAGTGCTTTCTGGGCTGGAGCTTTCTGAGTTTTAGAGGCTCAGCCTTCTGACCCGCAGCTTTCTCTTTCAGGGTAGGAGCTTTCTCTTTTTGAGGGAGCCTTCTTTTTCTGGGCGGGAGAGCAGTATAAGGAAATTTTTTAAACTTTCACCTAATTATTTTCTAAAACCATTTTCATGAACTGTAAACATGCAGTGATGCAGAAGTAATGCTTTATTCAACAGGATAATTTACATGTTTGTAATGATTTGTTTACTGTAAAGTTACCTGAGATCTAGCCAAGTGATATGGTATCTTAGTATCTAAGAGAATGCACATTACAGTTAAATTTTAAAATGAAACGCAGGTGGTAAACACATCTGCCGATTAGGAAATGTTAAAAAAATACATTCAAAATCATGATTCATGAAAACTCATGACACTGCAATGTTCAAAGGGAACACACATGGCCATATTTTGATTCCAAAATGAAGAGAAAGTAAAAACAAAAAAAAAAATTGGTGGAGAAAAGGGAAAATGCGAAGATTAAGGTGGGGGGGTGGTGGAATGGAGAGGAAAGGGCTTTGAAGTAAGCTCTAGCTCATTGCTCACCTGGGACTGACCTGCACAGTCCCTGAAACAGAGAGCCTGCCCTGTTTACTATCACTTTCCCCACACCCACATCATTGACAAAAGACTGTGTGACTAGGAAAATGTTTGAGATATGCTACGTCTTTCAAAGTTGATCCCCCCAACCCCACATTATAACCAGAATACCGTTTGGGGAAATATCAGTTTTCAGGCGGTTGCTCTATGAATAATTAATAGTCTGGTGAGGAAAAATAGATTTGCTTTTAAAAAAATAAAATATATGGTTCCCTCTGTTTTCTTAATTTACCTTTTTGCCACCGGAGGAGATTTTATCCATCTTTTCAGATTTAAATGAATCACCACCTTTTTCTTTGCTTGAAGACTTTGACTTATTTTTTTCCTTGTCTTTCTCATTTGCATAAGGAGACTCACATGGACTTTCACTTTTATGTTTTGAAACTCCCACTAAAATGACAAAGGATAATCATGAAAGCCTTTTCCAGTTCAGGTTGACGATTGAGTCGACGGTATTTATAAATCTACCTACTTGTTCCATTTTCCTCTTTACGCCTCTTGGTTAAGTCCGGCGGCACTTCGCGGTCATTGTTTGAATGATCCTGGAACCGAGAATTGTGAACTACAGTGATCAAGGGTTTTGCTTGTAAGGTACTACTTTGCACTAGAAGAGCACAGCTAACCAGTACTGCAGAACGTTTGCGGTAGCTTCACATACTTGGTTAAATGGCATGAAAGGCACGCAGAGCTGCAAGAGATTACTAGACTGAAGATCCTTGTTACTGCAGAAGTTGTAAACACAACACACTGTAGGGCTAAATTACCCCCCAAAATACTAAATAATAGGCTGCTATGGGAAAACCAGTATTAAAAAACAAAGGCGAAAGATATGTTACTGTACATGATAAGTGAGTGTTCCAAGCCGGTTTATAAAAGGTTACAAACCCTTTTCCGTTCCTTCCTGTCCTTTTCATCTTTTCTCTCTCTCTCTCTGGATCTTTCCCTCGACTTGTCCAAATCTTTCTTGTCCATTTCTCTCTCCTTACTCTTGGATAGTGGTGTAGGAGTATGATTAGTGTAGAGCTGTTAAATTAAGGCAATATTACTAAAGATTATTAGTTTTTCAATATTGGCATTCTTTTGTTTATTTAATGAAAGACAATTGGTAGTTAGACTCAAAGTCACAAAGGGCCAGCTGTCTGGATTACAAGAGTTAAAAGAAAAAAAGCCAACCCAAATTATACAAGGCTTCCACATTTCTCCATTTGCAAATCAGCTAAACTCAATTGGAACATTACTTACTGCCTCAACTGAGACTGAGTAAATTCACAAGCTAGAGTTCTCCATATAATTCTATCTCAAGGTTCTGTAACCCTCATTAGGAAAGTCCAGAGGTGAAGAACAGTGATGAAGTTTCTCAACTGTAAAGAAGGTACACATCTCTAAACCATCAGAGACATTTTAACCAGTTTTACGATTCACTCAAAAGTACCCAATGCTGACAGTGAGTAAAAGATAAAATAGAAGTTAGCCCAAGACTTTACTGAAGGTCTTACCCAGCCTCGGCATAAACCATGCATGGATTGTTTTTACAAATGTAAAAAAAAGCAGCATGTTCTCTGCTTCAATGGACTTAAGTTGTTTTAATGGTTCTAAATAGCTCAGAAAACCACCTCGTTTAATGATGATGAAACAACTCAAAGACTGAAATGAAGAACCAATGTGGTCCTTTGTCTATGCTATTGCTGCCAATAGGCCCATGGGCAATAAAGCAGTCAAAACTCAAGGGGCCTGGATAGTCTAGTTCTAAAGAATTGAGAAATGACTGTACCAATTTAAAAGGTGCAAATCTGGAAATCCATTATAATGGAAAATACTTGGGAATCAATTGGGAAATAATCAAACACCTAACCATATGACATTTATAACTGTGCTACAAGCACATGTTTTAGGTAGTTAAAAGCACTAGGAGGCAGGTATACAGAATATAACTCAATATATGGCTAAACAATTCTAGATACACCTTAGGAATAAATACAATAATGAATCAGTTCAAATAGCTGTACACAAAACTCTTTGGCATTCCATGGGGAAAAGTCAATCAGTTTGAGAATTAAGAAACACATTTTTTTAACACCATGGAACATTTTCAATTCAGATGGATCAGAAATACTGCCATAGCAATGCAGAAGCAGTCTTTAAAATGTCAAAGTTTACAATAAAGGTTTGTGGTTACAAATACATACACACAATTCTGTAAGAATGAAGTTTTTAACTGGCTAATTTGAATTACATATCGCAAGTAATTGAAAAACCTTTTCTAGGACTTACTTCTGGTATTAATGTTCCAATAAATACTTCATTCTTGGCCTAAAGAGTTAAATAGCTCAATTAATACACAAACACAAATTCTTAGTTTAGAAATATCCCCAATTTTTTCTCTATTTTGTACACTCTTCTATGAACACCTCTAATGACAATATTCTCCAGATAAACATACAGCCTTCTCATTATCTACTCATTAAAATATATGCTCCTTAGCTTGGGGTTCCCAGTCTTCCCATTTTTTTTCATAATTACTGATATACAGCAGCCCAATACTCTGTGCTGTGCCCACCAATGCTCTCAAATGCAGCCAGGCCCTTCCCAGCAGTTTTCTTCACCGTCTGAAATCCTATTGAGCCTTCAGATTTCACAAAACCACCTGCATGCACTCTACTCTCACTTCTCCGACTCCTTTTCCTGCAAACTATCATATTATTCTACAAGTATCCCTTTATTGCAGCAGGTAGTCTCTATAAATTTTAATGCCATTTATTTTTGTCCATGACCGTTTTTGGCATAGTAGAGGAAGTCAGGTGTCTTTTCCACTTTTACACATAGTTTCGTACATGTTTGCCAAATACAATAAATGATTTATTAAATTCATGCATATTCATAGCAGTGTTCTTGATTTGCTTTTATTCCCAAGACTGGGATCATTAGGCCCCAAAAGAATTGGACTAATTTTCAAAATCTATTTAAGAGTACTGTCACAATGACATCATTCTGGTTGCAATATATAAAATTAGACTCAGTTTATCAGGCTTATAAAATCCTTAGTTTGAGATGGTGAATAACATTAAAAGCTGAACTCTTAAGATGCCGTCCTCCTACATTTCAGAGAGAGAGTTGATTAGAAGAACTATTGTAAAAACTTGACTCATCAATTGCAGCCACTAAGATTAGCAGATGAATACCTAACGGAACCCCGGGGAGGCAATGGGAAGGGTGATGCTGCTTTGAAGGGATTGCAACTAATATCAGGAAACAAAACGTGTATGTATTGTTGAATGAGAAACTTACTTGCTCTGTCAGCTTTCACCCAAACAAACCACAATACAATGTTCAAAAATACCGAATAAAAACAAGACAATAAAAAGGGGTGGTGCATTAAGAAAAGGGAATTCTGGAAATAAAACATGTACACATTGGGGGCAGGGTGCTTCTAACACTCAGTAGTTTGAAACTATCAGCTGCTCCACAGGAGAAAAATGAAGGTTTCTACTCCCATGGAGAGTTACAACCTCAGAAACCTACAGGGACAGTTCTACCCTGTTCTATAGGGTTGCTAATGACTGACTCGGAATCGGCTTGGTGACAAGTTGAGTTTGGTTTGGTTTTAGAGAAGACTTGTGGGAAACATCCAGCTAGCTCGAAATCATCAATACCAGTTAAAGCCGCAGGCCTCACCAAAAAGAAACAGTTCCAGCCGACACGTCAGGGGTGAGTTAATTAAATGGTTGGGCAGTGTGGCCCAAGAATGATGTTATAAATATCCAAATGGCCCTTGGCAGAAAAAGGTCCCCACCCCTGAACCAGAAAGTGAATTAATAGCTTCATAGCGAATCGTGGGAACCAAGTCCAATGAAAAAAATCAAATTAAAGCAGGGTACGAATTTGAAAGGAACAAGTGACAAGCTAGCCCCAAAACACTGAGGTCACAGGTCATCAAGTTTATAGATCATTCAAATTCCAGTAAAGTGTATTCTCTAAGGCTATTAAATTTTCTTAGACATGTAAGCTTTATCATCAGCTATTATGCAAACCAGTACTTTGGATGCTTTTCCAAAGTCCAAAGACTTAAAGAGTTCATTTCAAATCATTATTGAACATTTAACCATACTGCCAGATACTGTGCAAAGCACTAAGGATCTAACAAGTGGTATGATCCAAATTAAATTTTAGACATGTGCTCATATGCCGTTCTCAGTTTTTTTCTGGACGAACAGCAAGAAAGCAATGGAATGTTAACTGCGCACCGAAACTACCATGGAAAACCAAGACGGGCAGATGGACCTGGAGGAGCGCTCCACCTTTACAAATGAAACCTCCACACCGAATATGCTAAGAACCCTCTCTTTTCCGTGAGATGTTCTTTCAACTCATCATAATTTCAGTGCTAAATTCCAGTTTAGTGTCTTAAGACACACAAACTGCATACTATTTTTAGCAATAAAATACTAAGGAATGTATAGTAATGGCTAAGAATCAATACTGATAATGTAAACACAACCACCAAGTTGATAATTCTCCTCCACAGCCGTGATTACAGTAATTGGTATTATGCTACAACTACTAAAAAGGTAGCTCGGCAGAGAAGACAAGGAATTTCACGGACTGAGATAGGCAGCTTTTAGAACAGTTATGTGAACACATAAAACTTACTGTTTGATGTTTTGGATGGTCTAAACAACCATGGGAAAACAGCCTGGCAGATTTGTTTTGAGAAATTAAGCATATTCCCCCAAACAAATTCTTATCCAAACCTCAAACTTATCTCCAGATTTTTGAAGTCTGAAAGGGAACGTGTATAACACAACAAGCAAGGCGAGATTATGGCCAGATTACACACATTTCATAAACATTTCTGTAAATGAGACCGCTGTCGTCCATTGTATTCATTTGTGATAAGCAATTTAGAAGCTATTCCTAAGTAAGCAAAGTATGTTTTTCCATGGACCCTGGCTTAATGAATTTATCAGGGCTAGAGGAGATCTACTTAATTAAAAAAAGAGAACTTTTTGGTTTATTTACTTAGGCGTGATGATTTGTAAAAAATCAAACCTTTGCTGAAGAATCCTTGAGTTCGATGAGACTGTCCTGTACAAAATGAACGGAGATGACAGGTGAGCTGGCATAGTTCTCAGAACCCAGAGGAACATTGGGAGGTGCGGCTGTAACCTGGAAATAAAACCAGCTACTTCTTGTGAGGATAAATCTTGTGATGGCATTATCACATGAATATCAACAACAAAAATAAAAACAAAAGCAAAACCATGTAATGAAATTGTAATGTTGAACAAAGGTAACTGTACATACTCAAAATAACAAAAATCTTTTTCTGCTCAGAATTTAGAAATCAATGCCACATTTTCCATAACTTAAGTTATAGGCAAAGTTAAGACGTTTACAAAAGCAAGACATTTTCCTCTCCACAAAAATAGTGGAGATGACTGTAGAAAAACAACATTTTCATTTTTTTCTTTAATTGGGAGGCTCCAAATTTTACTTCAAACTTTAAAATAAATATGCACTTTTAAAAAACCTTAGCTGGAGAACAGCTAAGAAATAAAAATGTATGCTATTAAAAGGTAATGGCTTTTATTTTGTTATTATTATTGCAAAGTGCCTACGAAGTAAATTTCATACCTCCCATGGAGGGGTAAAAAAGGCATTTAAAAGAAAAGAAAGAAAAAGAAATAAATTACAGTATTCCACCAGTGCTCTTGATGAAGAATTAATAACTTACAGTTTGTAAAAGTTCAAAGATTCCATGACATAAGATGACTTTAGAAATAAAATTTAATGTGGTGCAAGCAATGGCTACCCTGCGTCTTCAAGAAGGCTACACCCACGATTTTGTGCTGCAGTTGAATGCCTGGGGTTTCTCTTTGCTGGGTGGTAGGGCTGGATGCCACATCTGCTTTTAGCGTAACGCAAGGTTCAAGTGTTGGGAACCCAGTGGGTATAAAAAAACCTCCAAGGGAAGATACAACAGAAGCTGCATGCTCACTGAATATACACACTACAGGAGAACTGATCACCAAGGAGACTTTAAAACGGAACTCTTTCCAAGACTCCTCTTTAGAAGGCACACATCGTGGTATGAAGCTCATCAAGAAGCTTGATGAATTCCGAGGTAACTTGTTATCCTGCATCATCCAGGAAGTCTTCAGTGCTATTTATTCTTCAATATTTATGCAGAAAAAGAGGCTTCGTTCTGCTGAAAAGATTTGCTTGTAGCTACCATTGCACTCCAAAAATGACAGTGAGGCACTTCTGGGTAAAATTTCTCTTGCACTTTGAAACATTATTTACAAAATTAGTGCTAAGTCCTTGAAGTTGCGTTTTTTAACGCAAAAATACTCAATAGTAAAAAAACACGAGTCCACCAATATAGAAAAATTTCTTTTTCTAATGCGTTATAAAACTGCCAGTGACTCCAGTGAATACTTGGCACAAGACTTGAAGGAAGTCAGGACACGGGTATTCCAAACAGGTGAGCCTAACATGGACGCTGCCTTCCTCAGGCTATACTAACCTTTACTGTTGAGGAATGTGATGGAGAAGGGTGAGAATCAATTTTGCGACGTTTTTGTTCTGTTAGGACAAAACAAGAAATAGTTAGCAAGAGTTATCACTACTCCTCTTTCCACTTCTTACAAGCCCCCCAAAATAACCAGCTTTTAAGGTCATCAAATACTAGGTTCCCCAGAAAAATCCCTGGGTAAATTGCCAAAATAAAACACACTGCCATCAAGCCAGAGCGATCCTATAGTCTGGACATGGTACAACTGCCCCGTGGGTTTCCGGCAGAGTGGAAAGCCTCAAGTTTCTCCCTCAGACCAGCTGGTGGTTTCAAGATGCTGACAACGTGTAACCACCACTACGCCACCAGGGCTCCTCAAGGAGCAAAGAACCAACTAGCCATTAAATCAGCAAAAGGTAAACGAATATAAAGATGAACTTGCCCCTGTCAGGCTCTGCAATATCGGATCGGGGAACTGGAGATTTCATTGGCCCAGAAACAGCTGGTTTTTCTCCTCCTCCTTTATTATTTTCCTTGGCTTTCACCTCCTTTGCTATATCTCTTTCTCTGGATGGCTCCTTCTCCCTTTCCTTTTCTTGAGTTGATTTTGATTCTACATTGGGGACAGCGGGCTTGAATTTTTCATCTTTAGGCTTTTCTTCCTTCTTGAATTTTTCTTTTTCTTTGTCAGATTTTGGTGTTCGTTCCTTGGTCTCTCTTGCTTTTTCATCTTTATTTGGTCGCTCTTCTTTTGGTTTTTCTTTACCATCTTTACCAAGTACCCTGGCCTCTGGAGTAGTAGCTGGAGTCTTTTCTTTTTTCTCTTTCTCTTTCTCTTTTTCTTTTCCTTTGTCATTTTCTTTAATGGTTTTGCTGAAGAATAAACATTTGAGACTTTGAAATAAATGATCCTACCACACAGTCCATGTTTAAAATCATAAAGGATTTCTACCGACTTACGAAATTCTAAAATTGACATCTTTCAAACAAATAAAAAACATTCTTATCCAATAGGTAGTAAATAAACAGATTCCCGAATAACAGATTTCAAAGAATAATTAACAGGTTGACAGGCTTTTTGAAGGTGGGGGGATATACATCCATAACCTTTAAGGATAGCAAGGTAATGGATTTTCTACACTTTAACTCTGTACAAGTGTACAAAGTTTCAAACTGCTGACCACATGGTTAGTAGCCCAGTAAGTAGTCCAGGGCTCCTCACCCAGGGTACTACAATCAAAAAATGAATTACTTGGCTAGACAGATATCTTAATTAGCATAGGCCTGTTCTGAAGCAATTATCTTTATCCAAATGGTCTACAACCATCATTTAATCCTAAAGTCTTCGTTTGCTTCATTTTTTCCTTCGCTGCCTTACTTTCTCCTGTGTATCCTAGCAAGGAAAACTAAGTCTCAGCATATACTCAGGAGGGTAAATAAGGATATCTACCAAATTTCAAAGTCTAATATAACTGATTACATAGTAACCAACTGCCATCCCTTCCCACTCATGGCCAACTGATATGATTTTGAATTTTCACCGGGGGCTGTGTTCTTACCTATTAGAGCCACTATTTCCATTGTTGGCATTCACTTTGGGTGTGGCATTAGAAGCTTTGTTAACAGCTTTCACACCGCACTGAGATCTCTCCCTGGATTTATCTGAAATAAAGGCAAGGTTTTATTTGACAAGTCCCTAAATGTAAACAAAAACACGATTTTATAGCAAAAGGATGAGCAATTGATTAGAAACAGCAGGCTGATTATTTCCTTGACACTTACATACTCCTATCAAAGAAATTTAAAAGGCAGCAGCACTAAATCAGCTTCAACTTACAATAATACAAAACATTTCCATTTCTTGAAGCAAAATATATTACTTTTAAATTTCTACAAATGAGCATACCAGTCTCCTCAGTACTGCTTTCATCCGATTTAGATGTACTTCCTATCGATGATGACGACGACGAAGACGATGATGAAGAAGTAGAGGAAGAAGGCCCGCCACCAGGCCCATTTTGTACACTGGCAACTGCATTCCTCGGAGGGGGGTCTTTGTGATGAAACTCATTTTCAGGTATCATGTATGACTTTCTACTTTTCAATTGCCCAGAGTAGCTGAAAGTCGCACAAAGTGTTTAAATATACACGCACAAATCAGAAAGTACAAACATGGGGTTTAAAAGAATAAAGTTAACAAGTTATTCACCTGGCTAAGTGGTTGCAGAGAATAAAAATATTAATTTTTCACTAAGTTTGTGGACATCTTTAGAGAGACCTAGATGCCTTGTTCAATAAAAAATCTCAATATAAACTAGCACTTAAGCTGACCTTTTTTTCTTGTCACTATGAAAGATCTGAATACTCAACTGATAATAAAATTAAAGCTACATCTCAACCAAGACTTATTAAGTATGACTTTTGAAATTATCATCCAGTATAGACCGGAAGCTGATAATCAGAAGTGGCAACTCTCACCAGCCTGTGGGAACATGATCGCATAATCTCCCATAATCTCCTGAAATAAGGCAGAAGATAAACTTCAACACTGCAAAACGTTTTCAAGTCTTGAGAATCCTTTTTGTTATCTAGTCTCATAAATCACATTAAAGTAAGATTGTGTTACCCCATAGCCAATGCATATAGATCAGGCCTCTTCTCCTTTTCTTCTTCGTAAATTTTTTGCACTCTTCTTTCCAAAGCCTGGCCCAGATTCAAAACTTTGGGGTACCAAGGAAGTATTTTTGTTAGCACAATCAAGATATTTCTGATGTGTGTATATTCTCCTGTTTCAAGGCAATGTACTGATGCCTACAATAATAAAAAATTAAGATCCATTATTTCTGTGTCAGCATAAAGAAAATCTACACCTCTGAAAAACCTAGTTCTTTTCTTACCTTGGTTAGTTTGTAATGCCATTTATGCACAACATGTCGAAAATTTTCATAGTCTAACTGATCAGCTTTATTCCCACCGTCAAATCCAGTTGCTCGTAATATAGTAAGGAATCCTGGATAGTTCCCACATTCCTTTGTTTAAAAAGAGAAAAGAGAGGAAAAATGTCTCCTTTCACGAAAAACCCATGCCTATACAATAACAGGATCTGAAATTTAAGTAGTAACTAAGATTAATGGTCTGTGTAAACATATGATGTATGTTTGGGTAGCATATATTTATCACCTAAAATTTCGGCTTATTTAGGGATATTAATTGGAACATTATTTCAAGACAGGACTTAGAAATATAGCACTTTTAAAAATACTGCTTGACAAGGGAATCTTCAAAGCCAAGCTTTACAAATGAAACAATCCAGAGATGACTGGGAATACTCAGACCATAGGTAAACCATATAGGTTTTTATGAATCATACCTTTTCGTATGTGGCTCTATCACTGTGCCACCTTGTCACTGTCTCTAACATACAGCAAAGGAATCTGCCATATCGGCTAGCTTCATTTTCCGTACAGCTTGCAACAGTGTAAATTATATCAGAGAAAACCTACAGGAATCAAAAGGTTGCACAATAAAACCAAATCAAGATCATAATTAGTCCCAAAGTGAAAAGATCGTATTGTAAACATATCATAATCAGTTTAACAGGCCAACTTAGTACGTATTAGTTCTCTCCTTTTCCGTTCATACTTGCAGAGACCTTTTGTGGGAAAACAGCACACGTTGATAGGACAACTGGAAAAAAAAGTTTTATACGGAACACTGATTTACAATAACAGAAGAAAAACCTGTCATCATTTTTAGATAATACTGTAACTTCTTTATCAAAGATTTAGCCGTGGTAGGCAGAGGTGAGGAGAAAATCTAAGAATTGGCAGCTGCCACGCTGAAACAAGAAAGTACGTTCTTAAACCACAAAATACAATGCTTTATTAAGAAAAGTCAGTTGTAAAAATCTGCTAATGTAACCATATTGAAAAGCATCACTGCTTTTGTGTGTGTGTGTGTGTGTGTGTGTGTGTGTGTGTGTGTGTGAAGGTATAGACTTTTTGTTGTCTTTTGAGGTGATGGAAGTTTAGAGTAGATAAGAGGATTCTACCTGTAACACAACATGCAAACCCAAATGTAGTTAATGGCTTAACCATGAGGGCTTATTATCTAAAGTGTTTTTATGTTTAGCTAGTCATTTAATCCTATCAAAACCCCTCCGAAGCAGCTATTACTACCCCATTTTGCAGACAAGAAAAATGAGACACAAAAATCACACAGGTAGGAAGTGGACGAACTAAGATTCCAATTCAGGCATCTGACTATTGAGTCCATGCCTCCAACCACATACACAGTTGTATCTCTATAGATGAGTATGTTTCACGATCATTGTGTGAGACTTTTTTAACAAGGGTTGTAATAAAAAGAACTTACTCGATCATAGCAAAGAAGTGTGGAAAAATTTGGAGTTTTCTGTTGATGTACCAATTCAACAAAACGAGCACAGTAAACAGCATCAATTGCTGAAAAAATACATCGAGGAAAAATACACAGCTGTAGAAATTTTGTGATGGTCTCATTTTTGGTAGATTCTAAAAATAAGGGAAGAATATATAAGTGGTAAACTTCTTCCTCAACTCCCAAGGCCACTAAACATGACAATATCTTAACTTTAGGGCAGAAAACACTATACAACCACAAACTATTCACAGTTGGTACCCAAAGAGCATGCCTGGAAGACTGCCTTCCATTTGTTAGTCAGTGGGCAATCTACTACTGATAATGTCTCCAGAAAAATGATTTTATACAGAAGAGCTGAATGACAAGCTGCCAATATTATAGTTACAAGTTATTTTCACCAGCAAACTACTCGGTCCCTGAGTGCGCATGTGAAGCTGATTCTGCATTACTGAATAACCAAAGACAGGGAGAATGAGCCCCAAGTTGAAATACAAACACAATACACTTCAACACCTGCAAAGTTTTAAAGCAGTTCTTTTGTAATTTAGCAGCAGCAAGGATACAGCAATTCTAAAAACATACTTGCTAAAAGCCAGTTGTCCTTTTCCAGTTTCAGTCTTTGTAGAACTCGCTGTACATGTTCCATCTGTTTCTTTTCTTCTTCAAGAAGCTTGTCCTGAAGGGCAGTACAACGCTCCTTCTCTTTTTTCTTTTTGTTCGGAGGCTACAAAGTCAAAGTTAGAATCTTTTCTAACTGTGTGCAAGTATCTTCCATTTGAAAATGGAAACAACACTCTCAGAGATGCTTAAAGTGGACAATTACATGAACATGGACACACAGGTCCTACTTGGATGTGCTTTCACCGCCGTTCAAGACAAAGTCATCCGGTCTTGGGACTCCACCACACAGGCTCCCTTCTCCAACACTGGCCATGAAATCCTCGTCGACTCTCCTCCATCTTATCCCCCAGGTGTTTACTATTTGTTTCTATGCATTTTTTACTACTTCCACCATAGTCTATGCCAGCGCTGGGGAATACTTGACCCTCGAAACCATCAACACCAGCTAACACCCCATGCCTCACCAAAGAGAAGCCATTCCAGCCTCTTCACACTAGGGGTGAGTTAATGAAACATTTGACCAGTATGGCCTGAGAATGATGCTATAAATATCCAAATGACCCTTGGCAGAAAAAAGGGTTCCCCACCTGGCCTATGCACTCAGTATCTATCTCACACTAAATTACCCCCTGAAGCCTGGTACTGCTGCCATAGGAATCTTTTCAAAGTCCCCCTTTTTTTACCATTATATCTTCCTCCACTAAGAAACTTAAAATAACTCTCAATGTTAGCCAGTCTGCTTTTATATCAGATTTTCAATGCCCTAAATAACCCAGCTCTATCCTAACTATTCAAATTTACCACTCATTCATCCCAATAAAACAGGTCTCCATGAACCCTAGAGTGTTTCACACTTTGCTGGAGCCTTAGAGTGACCCCCCACACACTATTTTGCTCAAAACCCACCTGTTCTACAACGCTTTCTCCGAAAGTGAACTCTTGCTCTTGCAACTGGAGTCACAGTGATTGCAACATTTTGCTAACTCTTCGGTAGAAAAATCAATTCAAATACCTTTACAATAATCAAAACTTCCCTGCCTTTACCAAGTCTCCCAGCCCCAGCCCACTGAAAAGGTCATCCTCAACTTACAGAACTATTATATAGCAACAACATAGCTTTAACAAATCTAAGCTAAAATATTTTTCCAAGAGTAACAGTGTACTATAAAATTACCGTACTTGAGCTGTTAAAACAAAAACCTACCATTTCCTGATTGTCATCAATTGCTTTCATCTGTATTTTAAGCTTGTTCACTTCTCTTTCGTAGCTGGTTTGTGGAACTGCAAGGTCATACATTGTCAATGACCAGAATGTGGCATAGAATTGAGGGCTGATATCATCCCAGACTTTGGAAATGTGCAAGGAAACCACTGCTTCATGGACAGGAGCCATCACAATCTCACATGATGTGATATATTTATGAACTTTATGCTGCTGTTTACTTCCCTTTTCTGATTTCTTAAGTTCATCATATTTTGACTGGAGATAAAAGGTAAACAAACAACACAATTTATAGCATTGGTTCCCAAGGTATTTATTACCTTTTCAAGAATCATAAGAGCAGCACTGTCAAGACTGAGAGGAATTCTGGTTTCTTACCAGCACTTATTTTACAATACATCATCTCTAGCAGTTGATCCAATCTCTAGTTCCACGTGCTGACTTGGAAGGAGTGTGTTAAGCAGATTCTTATGGAATTTGACCTGCTCAGTAAGTAAATGAGGTATGTATGCCCTCCTGTCCATTAACCCCAACCTACTCCATCTGGCTGCTGAATCCGGTATTGCACCTAACAGGTAGGATGACAAATCTCCCAGGTTTGCCTATGACTGAGGGGTTCCCCAAACATAAGACTTCCGGTGAAACCTAGGTAAACCAGGACCATTTGGTCACCAGAATGCTATGCCAAATGAGACTTTTTGGTGAACAGCTTTAGTTAAACTACATTACAGTCTCACATGTGTGGAAATGGAAGCTAAAGCATCTTTGGCCTGAACGGCTTATCTAATTCAGAGGAGGTGCAGTGGACCAGAAAAATATCATACTCTTATTGTATGAGAACAAAAACCTGCTAGAACAAAGTCGAAGGGGCCCTGGTGTTTTCAGTGGGTGAAATGATGGGCTGCTAACAGGAAGGCTGCAGGTCAAACCCACAGGAGAAACACAAGGCTATTTGCTTCCAGAAAGAGTTAACAGTTGTGGAAACCCACAGAAGCAGGTTGATATGAATCAGAATTAACTTGGTGGCAATAGGTTAATACAATTGGAATGGGGTGGGGGTGGAGGTGGAGGACTGCTGTAGAATAGATTCTGACTTATGGTAACACTGTGTACGCCACAGCACTGTGTTCCATAGGGGTTTCTTTCAAGTTGTCTCTCAAAAAACTCACTGTGACTCATAGGGACCTATAGGACAGGGTAAAATTGCCACTATGGATTTCTGAGAGTGTAAATCTTCATGGGAGTAAAAGGATTTCAAATAGCTGACCTTGAAGTTAGCAGCCCAACTCACCCACTATGCAACCTAGATGCCTCTCAGTAGTTTCAAACCTCTGACCTATTGATTAGCATCACAGTATGTTAACCACACGTACTCCAGTAAAATAGAAACTAAAACCCACTGCCCTTGAGTCAATTCCAACTCGTACTGGGCCTTCTAGGACAGAGTAGAACTGTTCCCTCTGGTTCCCAAAGCTGTAAATCTTTACTGAAGCATATTGCTTATTCTTCAGCCTGAAGGGTTACTGGTGGGTTCAAGCTACCCACCTCTCAAAGCTGGGCCACTAGAGATCCTTCAGGATAGTAGGGGGGTCTACAAATTAGCTCAGAGTTTATTCCAAGAAATAAAAAACAAAATCATTAACTACTGAGCTGTTAATGTCTTATATCCCTCAGTCTTATGTCCCTCAGTCCCTTCAGAGAACTCTTTAAGTCCAAAAAAAATCCAGGTTCAAAAATGAGTTGGGCTGAACCATGGGTTCCTGTTTGTGAACGTTCAAAATGACTGATTAGTGTGCTCACTTCTCACTACAGCACCGGACAGGGCAGAATTCCTGAGATGAAGCAATGATCTCCCATAGTTTTTCAAGAAATCTGGACCCCCTGTTGTACAACTAAGACTGATCAACCGTGGGCTGGGCCAATAACCACTTACAGAGCATACCATTTTCTAGATTGAGTCTAAAGGGGAAGAAGAGGCCTACCCTCACAGCCTTTTCCCCTCTAGAGCTAGTAGCACAGGAACTGAGAGATGATTCAGATAATTAAGTCAATGAACATTTAGTTAGTTGTTAGAGGTGAGAGACTTCAGCAGTTGATATGTAAACACTAATAGCTGATGGTCAATTAAATGATCAATTAGAACTCAAATTTTCAGCCCCTTTTTTACAGTCTGTTACACAACTCTGTTGCCTTTCTGGGAACAGAGAAGGGATCTTAGTTTGAGAAAGGACTAAGACTTTCCCTCCAAATCTGTACAGGTGGCCTAAATAAAGACAATCCAGGTCTATAGAAAAATGAAGATGCTGGGAGTTCCCATCAGTGTAAGGAAGTACCAGGCTTCCAGAGTGAGGACTGTCCATGGTCCTGAGAGAAGGGGGTAACTGCTTTGCAGGGCAGTCCAGGTGGCAAATAGAGAAGTGGAGAGGTACTATCAACCTATTCACTACTGGGATGCCTTGCCTCAAAAGTCTATGGCTTATTTTGGGGCTGTGTGTGTGTGGGGGGGGGAGGGGTTGTTTCATTAAGGTGAAGAGAAATAAAACAAGAAATATGAACACATCTTTCCAAAAGTTACCAAACACAGACTGGATTTCTAAAGGATTGGGAGTGGTTACATCTATCTCTTTCAAGGCAGTAGGGATAATAACAAGTCAACCATCAAGTAAGGATACTACCATGGAAGAAAGAGGAGTGTTTCTAAGAGTGAGGTACCCAGCTTGGCCTGAATCAGAATCATCTAGTGCCTAAAACAAACAAACAAACAAACAAGCAAAAATAAAAACCTTGAAATCCTCAGCCCCTATTCAAGTTACCAAACACGAATTTGTGAATTCAGAGTTTTTGAGATGCTTGCCTGGTGGTTTTCATCTTCACTAATGTTTTGAGAACTGCAGTTCATTAGGGCCAGTAAGATGTCTATCTAGAAAACTGGTAAAGTTGTAACAGGAAAATTATAGAACTATGTTAACATATATAGATATATAGATACACAAATGCATGTGCACTGTTAAACTAAAATGCATTTAAAAACAAAACCATTAAGAAACAATTTGGCATCACTCTTGAATGGCAGCAGGGATACTTGCACTTACTGAAATATGGTGTGCATACATTGGCCGAGACAGGAAAAATGCTGCATCATGAGGTGTATGAAATTCATTACAAAGCACATCAATTGAAGGTACTCGCTTTATATAATCTTCTGTGCTTAGATTAGATGCCAAAAACCCACCAAACTGTACCAAGGTATCATGACACTAAATTTAAAAAACAAGACAAAAAACAAACATGTGTTACCATTCTACAGAAGCGATATAAATATTTTCAGAAATAATTAAGATGTTATTTGAACAGTATTCTAACAAAATTAAGATTAAAATTTCAGGACATCATAGGACTTTAGAGACCATTTATAAGCATAATCACTTAAACATATTGCATAAAACACTGAGGCCTTGATAGGTTGTCTCATCCAGGGCTTTAATAGTCAAACAAGTCTCCTGAAGTTTCAAGTTACTATTATTCAGCACTTTAAAAAGCAGACTACATTTTAACTCAAGCACATCAAACAATATGCATTGGCAACAAAAGTAAACACTTTCGCCATTAAAAGAAAGTTTAGTTATAAAATATATTTGTAAATATTAAACACGAAAATCTATATTTAGCCTACAAATGTATTCAACTATCACCAACTATATTACTGGCGGTCGGTTGGGGGGAGAGATAGCAGCTGCTTGTCATTGAGACTCCAGACTTCCAGAAATCAGGAAAGATAAGAGAATAACTAGTAGTTGAAGAAATATAATATCTATTTAATTGAAAACTTTGTCCGTACTATAATAGCTCTCCTAGAGTCACCTCTTAAATAGCCTAATTGGCATCCATTTCAGAAGTCAGGAAAAAGGCCCAATTTCCTCAGTGTCTAGTTGCCATTAGTGCACTGGCATGTTCAGCATGGGAGATGCTTTGCAAATTACATCAGTCTACATTTTCTGTTATCCATATTTTTTTAAATGTACATAAACACAGAAGTCATTTTCACTTGCCTGATCATACAGTTTTCCCACAAGTTTTAAGTGTTTCTCTCCACCTTCCTGAAAGATCACACCATTTCGCTGTTGAGCCATAAGCAAACAAAGAGGAAGTGCAAGATCGTGGTCTAACAGTGCATCTTTTAGCCTCTGAGAGGATTTCTTAGTGTTTCTGATCTGGCCAAAATAGCCACCCTGTACAAGAGAAGAGACAAATGTATCAGTGTATAGTACAATATACATGCCAGCTGATTTGAAAAAGAAAAACTTGAGTTTACATCTTTAAAATAAAACTCATACATCCTGCATTCCTTAGCCTTCCTCATTCTTCACAAATTTATTTTAGTGACACTGTTTCTGATGACAGTTATTGGTTTATAAATGACTGTCGATCGTTTAAACTACTGCATATATTCTTTGTCCACACTGTAGTCCCTAATAAAAGATGATTTTGTGTTCAATGTGGAAGGCTTAACAAGAAAGTAAACTACCTTCAGGTTTAAGTTATTTCAAAGACCACAGAAGATAGAATTTGTGCATTTAAAAAAGTGTCACATTATTTACTATATCTCAATTTGAAAAAAGGAGGAAGTGCTTGTGAAGAACAGGTACGTCTTCATGTACTTCTGTGTTGTTTGGAATCTTTACTATTGAGTGAAGGTTTACAGAGCAGGTCATTTTCAACAATTCACACATATTTTGCAGCATCTTACTGATGGTAATCTCTATAATTTAACATCACTTGTCCCACATCTTACATGCTCTTCCTGTTTTCATTCTTCCTCCTTTCCTAGCCCTTATGAACTTTGAACAAGGGTAAATGCTGCACTTTAGATGTGAAGTGGTTGACTGTTTATTCTCAGGTGTGCCTCCCCAGTATTATTGCTCCCCTTATTAGACCTGTCTGTTGATTGGCTGGAAATTGAACCACGGGGTATGTGAAGGGGTGTGTGTGAATGGGGGAGTCAGTTCATTTGCAGACCTGAAAGATGACTAATGGTCGTAGTCTCGAGGGTTCCGCCAGTCTCTATGTTACCAGTAAGCCTGGTCTTATTGCACACCATTAACATTTTAAAAGGCAAGAAACAAAAGCGCTAATACTCACTTCAGCTTTTAGCTGCTCTCCACCAGTCATGGCTTCTAATTGCTCCATTGTCATTTCTTCTGTTATTTCTATTCCTGCCATTTTTTGTACCACTTCTTTCAATATTAGCAGGTCAAAACTATTTTAAAAAGAGAAACATCTTCTAGCCAAAATGTTAAATATAAAAGTAGCAACATCTTTAATTAGATAGTGGCAATTCCTACATTATTTATACATAAATGTGGGGGGAGCAGCTGAAGGGATTTGTATAGGGGAAACGAAGGAAAAGCAGCACTCCTAGAATGAGTCCCCAAATTATATGGCACATGTGTATGTTAACTTTTATTTGAGAATCATTGCAAGCCTAGCTAAAAGCAAAACCACTGCCATTGAGGCAACAGGGATTCACAGAAACCCTAAGAAGTAGGGAGGGGAACATCCAGACTGCCAGCAAAGCCCTCAACATTAGCTAACTTCACACACCTCAACAAAGCGAAGCAGCTCTAGCCATCACATTAGGAGTGAGTTAATTAAATGTTTGACAAGTATGGCCCTAAATCGGTGCAATAAATATCCAAATGGTCTTTGACTGGAAAAAAAAAAGTCCCCAAGCCCTGCTGTACAGGGTGTTTCCCTGACTATAAATCTTGATATGAGATCAGGCAGCCTTATCTTTCTCTAAGAGAGCAGATGGAGGGGTTTGCAACACAGACTCTGCGGTAGATAGGTCAATGCTTATCCCTCAGTGCTACCAAGGTTCCATTCAACCCTAGATAGGTTGCACAAAATGAAAATGGTGCAAAGTAAGCCCTTATACTTTTTGTCCTAGCTTCATAGATATTAAGTGTCATTTCACTGCCATCTGCTTTATTATTTGCACATTCTGTGAGTGTGCTGTGCATACACACACACACACACACAAACCTCTTGACCCATTTAAGGGCACACTGTATACATAATGGCCCTTCAGCCCTAAAAACTTCAATATGAATTTCCTAAGAAAATGGTTATGTTCTTATATAGCACAACAGTTAGCTACTTTAGTATATCTGACACAAGATTCATAGCTAAGCTAATCAGTTGACCTAATCGTGTCCTTCATAGCATTTTTTTTCCAACTCCAGTACATGATGGCCAATATCTTTTTGATGATATAGAGGCTTCTCTCAAAAAAGCCATTTACTAAAAAGGAAATAACAAAATAATGGTGACGTGTTGATAAAATTCTGAGTCTAAATATTATTTTTTAAAGTTTTCCCAAAACTAACATAAGCATACGTCAAGAATTACATAGATAATGCCTACTTTGAACACTTGACAGTTTCAGTTTTTATTTTTACCAAAAAGCTTTTAAAAACAAGTTTTTGTTATTTGATTCGGGTTACTGGTGATGAAAATTTAATATACATATTTATTCATACATTAGGCACTGATACTGGCCCAGAATAATAAAATCCAACATTTATAAAGTGAGTGTGATCCAAAAGTTTGCATCATCCAAAGTTCAAGTTTAAAAATTAACTGTCTTATAAATGCCATACATATCTTCAAAATTAATAAACATTTTCCTACCAAATATTTAACTTAAATTATCCAGTAAAAAAACCAACAATGCAGTATTTCCTATCAAAAGAGAATATACAAGATTCCTCTTTAAAAGGATTGCCCATTTACCCATGTATCAGATTTTCAAAATAAGTGTCTCTCTACTGACTTACAAATGTAGCCCAATAGTAAATTTGGGTTTTTTTTAGGTGTTTAAGTATATTTAAAAGAGTCCCAGTAAAATGTTAATTTCTCTTAACCGAAGAATTATATCTAAATAAGTGAATATTCTACTTGAACCAACCCCCAAACAGCAACAAAGTAGCCTTTCAGGGTAACAGTCATCTTAATCTCCTAACACCACCTGATGTATTCTAATCATTCAATTATGTTTCACTATAATTACCTTTTGCCTGCCTTTAGCTGATTGGCAACATATTGAAGAAGACCAGCAAGATCAATTGGGTATTTACGAAAAACTGCCCCACAGAAACTAGCCAGACCTATATGGTGTGAAAAAGAACAGGATCACTAAGAGTTCACAAAACAGAAACTACAACATCAACTGTCAGTTAATATCAGTTTTCAACAAATTCAATTTAGAAGTCACATGAAGGTGGGGATGAATAATTACATATTGCTCATACCATGGAGTAGTTTGCTAATTAATAATAATGAATATTTATTGTACTGAGCATTTTACATTGATTACCGTATATACCCGAGTATAAACCGAACCAAATATCAGCCGAGGCACCTAATTTTACCACAAAAACTGCATTTAAAATGTACTGGAAAACTTGGCTTATACACAGGTATATACGGTATCTCATTTAACCCTTCAAACCATCACCTTAGGGACATAGAAACCAACATGTAAGGCAAGTCAGATTCTCAAGGACACATACCAAGAAAGGAGATAGAATAGTGATTTAAATCTATGCAGCTTGACTCCAAAACCCATGACATTAAGACAAAACTAAATCTTACGTAATTCAGTAACAAAGTTAAATAAACAAAACTTCACCCCAAATGTTTAAGCCAAAAAAAGAAAGTATTTTTAATTTTTTAATCTAGGGCCATGCTTGAGTAAAGGGGCAAGAAGACAGGTAAAGATCACCAGGCCAAGAGACAAACAGAAGACCAATTTTAACCAATAGTTATTTTCTCTCCAATAGGGAGGAAAGCCCCTGGTCAGACAAGAGGAAGGGATGCCAGTAAAGTCAAGTGATCCATACCCTGCTCAACAATTATTTGCTGAGCACATAAGTCCTGGCCTCCAGCAATTTATAGGCCAGTGGGAAATACCCAAAACTCACTGCCATAATGTCAATTCTGATTCACAGCAACCCTATGGACAGAGTAGAACTGACTCTGCGTTTCCAAGGCTTTAATTCTTTAAAGAAGCAGAAAGCCTCATTGTTCTCCAGCAGAGTGGCCTGGTGAGTTCGATCAGCTGACCTTAGGGGAAAATACTGGGAATGTCCAATGAAAAACCAATGAGTATAAAGTTTCTTGGGAATACAGAGGAGAGAAATGGAATTCAAACTTGTGGGAGGGAGCATAACAGGGAAAGCTGACTTCTAAGCTGGAATCTAATGAACGAGTAGAAAATGGGATTGGCGGGGGGATGACTGGGCAGGAAAGGGTATTTCACAAAGAAGGAATGGCAAGCGCCAAGAGCGGAAAAAATAGAAGTAGTATTGTTGGAACCTAGAATATTGAGGAGGAAGAAGGACAAGAAGAGTGGGGCTCTGATTTCAAAAATAACATACTCTTATGACTTCTTCAAAATTTCAAACTTTAAAGGGCAATGGGGAGACACTGAAACATTTGGATTTCAGACATGATAGACTATAAAAAAGGTCAACAGAAAACTGCTATAAACAAACGTACAAGAAATAAAAATAAGTAAATGTGGGGTTTTTTTGTTAAGGTTTTTTTTTTCAAGAGGACTAGAATCTTGGGAAGATCGGGAGAGATGGGAGAACAGTTCCTTTAAGATCGACTCTTCTAAAATAATACTAGCTAAAAAGAAAAGGAGCTCCATCTCATCAGCTGTGCTTACCTGAACTGTGTCACTAGTTGGAATGATCACTAAGTATTAAATAAACCAGCTTATATAATGCCCAGATCGCTGACACTCTGTGTGACTACACAGTCTCTACAGCTGCCAAATTGGCTCGAACTATAAGGAGTGACATATGTAGTGTGGAAGTTTCCGGAGATATTCATGTGACCTTTGGAAAAACAGAAATACTTACTCTGAAGCCAACTGGAGATCGTTGTGTCATCATGTTTCATCCTCTCCTTTTCTGGATTAGCTAGAGCTTCAATGATGCAATCTTCCGATCATTAAGAAAAACAGTGAAGCCACTGTCTCTAGTATAACCTCATTCAAGCCATAGTATTTTCAATCACCTCAGACACACGTGAAAGGCAGGCAGTAAATATGGAAGACCTGAACAGTGATGCCTTCGAGTGGTAATGTTGGCAAAGAATATCCAATGTACCATGGATTGGCAGAAGAACAAATAAGTCTATCTTGAAAGGAGGATAGCCAGAATGCTCCTTAGAAGCAAGGATGAAGAGACTTCATCTCGTACTTTGGGATCAGTCCCTGGGGAAGGGACATCATGTTACTAGAAGGTCAGGAAAAGAGGAAGATCTTCAGGCCACATGTTTACAAAAATAGTTTGCTGTGTGCTGTTACAAGTTGTTGAAAAATACACTCATTTTAGTACCAAATTTTCTTCTTTAACCACTTTCTCATCCATCATTTAGCAAGCAAGGTAGATTGTACCCTATATATTTAAGATATTTGGCAAACCTATGTCTCTCCCTATAAACAAATACACACACACACTCCCTCACTCCCTTTTGAAAGAAAAAGATAGCTGGTTATACTTCAGATAAGCCACTTGAATCTACCTCAAATGATTACTAAAATAAAAATGTCCACCTCTCAGATAAATGTGAAATCTATGTATTACTTTAAAAGGATACAGGCCAAGACATCATAATTCAATGAAGTGAGGTATTTCAGTGAATCTACTACAGGTGTTATTAAGTTATCATACTTCTGTATTTGTGACAAGATCTAGAAGACAGCAAAAGAGAATAGATGGTATTGATCAAAACTGTACTATCCCAACTAAATAATGTCTGCATTTATTTTTCAAAAGAGACAAAATAATGCTTAAAATTAAAATGGTTTCCATTCCATTTGCGTTCATGTAAAACCAACTGTTCTATCATTGACTCGGAGGTTGTTTTCTAAGGTTACATTACTCAGTAAGGAATAATTCCAAAAATCTAAAGTTGAACTTTTGACATTATAAAAGGCCAGTTTCATGAGAAATGTTTTGTAAGTCTTTCTAAAATGAAAGTAATAGTGCTGCAACTGAGCCACAATGAAATGCTGTTGAATGTTTCTAACCAAATAATCTATCATATTATTAAAATGTTGTAATCAAAACAATACTGTTTAACCAGCAGTGTTACACAGTATTGGAAAATCAAAGTAGCATATTAAAATGTACTGCGTATCTTTAGCCTAATTGTACAATGTTGCATTTGTTTAAAGCCCCTCCTCCCTCAAAAAATATCACCAAACATTTTTAAGGGCTACCGTTCCCTTTCTGCTTGCTAATCTGAGACAAAAGAAAACATCCCTAAAAATTATATTACTCTTAAAACATACGTAATCAAACAAAATCGTTGGATTGCTGTGGCTCAGCTTCCCGATTTGTCTTCCAGAAGGTTTCACATTTTCCTTGGTTAGACGCCTACGAGAGGAGAAACAGATTGCACAGGTCATCTTAAGTAACTTCCCTCCTAAGGTCTATAGATTTTTTTAGACGATGGGGGAGGGGGAGAGGAAGGGGGGGGGGCTCTTCCTATAGATCCAAAATAGAGAAATACAAATAACCACATTCAGCATATTCTTTACAGCAGGACTTAGGCTACTCTGGTTAGGCATTCTTCCAGAGGGTTATTGAGATTTTATATAAAATGCCTAATACTTGTGAAATACACAATCTCGGTTCATAATATTCTAAAAAGCACTAAAACTCTTTAAATGCAAGTCTTTATCAAAACAAATCAAAAGAATCACTCTTATCAGGTCAGGGATTCAAATATCTAAGTAGCATTGCTGTAAAAAAATACCTCATGTTATCTGGTTCACTAACCCTACCAGAAGCAAAGCTAATTTTATGCTCCTTGATATACAAAGTTCTTGTGTACAAAGTAAACTTTTTAAAAATCTATTCGATTCCTTTCCTCTACTCAATGTTCTTTAATTGACATTTCTGTAAATACATGTCAGTGAAATGCTTATCATTCAAAACAATTATTACACATAATCTTAAACTCTTCTGATGAGTCTATTTACATGATAAACCTCGAACATTAAAACTTGAAAAGGTTACAAGTAACAGAAAGGACACTTTCTAGATTGAAAATGGAACAGAACAAAATCTGAATTCCCAAAAAATACAAAATAAAAAAATTTTTTAAAAATCTGAATTCCCATTCTCCATGGCCCATCTTCTTTTTCCCCAGAGAACAGAGACCAACAGTCTTTAAACTGTTTACACTCTGTTCCATCTTTAAACTTACCACCACCTCTCCGCACTCCCAACCCTATTTCACATACCCTTTCTACTTGCCAAGGCTAACCCTAGAGGGAAAACCAACTGAAACAACAAAAATAAAAGAAATAATTTGTTGTTTGCCTTCCTACCACCCAAGTGCAGTGTCTGATATATGAAATATCGCAATGAGGGTTCATGGAATAAATTACTGAATGGCCAGTTGCAAATTCTCATTTTAAATACCACTAGCAAATTCACATTTTAAACATTAAGCAAAACTTGCAAACTTACACAAGAAATAGGATGAGTAAGAACAACTTCTGCTCTCAAACTCACACCAGCTACAAAAACATACTTAAAAGCACTTTCCTTTTTCCTATATTAAAAGTAACAAGAGAAAGACAAGGTTCTCTATTCCCATAAAACTTACAATCTCAGAAACCCATAGGGGCAGTTCTGCCCTGTCCTATAGAGCCACTATGAGTCAAAATCAATTCGGTGGCAGTTGAGTTTGGTGTTTTGCTTATATTAAGTAAAAATCTCAAATTACAATGCAGTAGTTATCATGTGCTATCAATAGTATGAAAAGGAAGCTACAATGCTAGTATTAAACTCTATATACATGAAAAATATGTAGAAGATTACACACAATACTACACAGTGCTGACTTTTTTCCCTTGGAGGTATAAGCATATGGGTAGAAAGACAGTATATTGAAACTGATACTAACCCTAAGCTCAAAAACTCAGTCATCTAGCTGATGCCAACTCATCGCGACCCTACAGGGCAGGGAAGAACTGCCCCCTTTGCATTTCCAAGACTAACTGCTTACGGAAGCAGAAAGCCCTGTCTTTCTCCTGAAGGGAAGCTGGTGGTTTCCAACTACCAATCTTGCAGATCGCAGCCCAACGCATAACCATTACGCCATCAAGGCTCCTGTGATACTAACCTAAAGTAAAAAAATTTTCAAAATGTAATTAGGAATAATCAACCAAAAGAAAGAAAAACTAACATGACTCTTACTTTTTGATCCCATTGAAACATGAAGCACAAAAATAAAAAAGTTGTTTTTCTTAAAAATTAAAAAAAAAGGGGGTGGGGGAATGTGTCCCTGGGGAAATAGCTGTACATACTTCCATTTGATCATCCTAATAGATAAAGACAGCTTTACTAAAATAAACTTCCATCAGAAGTAATTCCTCAAACACTAGCCTGTACAAACTATTATGCAAACTGAGCAAAGGCAATACATGTGCATATTAAAGAATATTTGTAGATTTTATACCCACATAAACATGGCAACTATTAATTTAGTAGTGATAAAACCACATAACATTGACAACCAATTAATCTATAGTATATAACCAATTACCACATTCAAAAACATTCATGAACTTCCTCAAAACTGAGGCTCAGTACTTAAGCTAGCTGTAAGAGAGGAAATTAGATCCAGATGTACTTTATGTTAATATGTAGAAAAATAAATGAAAACTTACTTCATGATATATTTGGCTCTGTCTATTGTTTGAGCTTTAACTTTTACTAAAAGTGGATGACTGTTATAAGTTTCATTCTTCCACTGGCCATATAGGTGATATCTTTAAAAAGGAGATGATACAGAATTAGAAAAAGTGTTAAACAAGTAAAACTTAATAGATCAGAGCTAGCAGTAGTTAAAATTTTGAAAATAAGTATTTACCTATGCTGATATGGAAATGTTTTAAACATTCCCCATAGTTCCTCAGACATACAAGCATTGCAGTCCATCAAAGAAAGAGATGGTAGTAGTACCTGGTCAGTAATGCTAAGTAAACAGCTGAGGATGACTTCCTAAGAAGGAGGGGAAAAAGTTACTTAATTAAGAAGCAACTGCCTATGCACATTAATCCATCCCCCCCACCCAATCAACATGAATTAATGACCACAATGGATATACTGCCATTTCATGTTCTCAAAATACGTAATACCTAATCCCCATCCCCACCCTATCATTGGCCATTTCACAATGCATGTTTATGTTTCTCTAAGGAGCACTGGTGGCACAGTGGTTGAAGCACTCAATGGTTAACAGAGAGGTCGCAAGCCCAAATCTACCAGTCGTTCTAAGGGAGAAAGATGTAGCAGTCTGCTGTAATAAATTTTTACATCCTCGGAAACCCTATGGGGCAGTTCTACTCTGTCCTATAGGGTCAATATGACAGCGATGGTTTTGTTTTGGTTTTGTTTGGATAACAAATGAGGTAGAGAATGGAAAGAGGTACAAAGAAAATAAAAAGACTTTTATACTTTTCCTTTTCCAACATGTTCATGCTCATAAAAGGGAGGTATTAAATCTTACAAGAGAGCTTTGTACAATGTACTAGAAAGTATGGTCATCATGTAAAGAATAAAATTATTCTTCCCACTTGATTAAAACTTACTTACTCGAGGCGAATGAACAACAGAATTGTAGGTGAATAGATCCATTAGATGGTGTCAGACACCGCAAAATTTATATATTTGTATAAAGTCATAAGAATGACATATAATAGTAAGAGTTCCTGAGGGGTAGGATAGGGGAAGGAAGGGATAAAGAGGAGCTGATATAAAGAAACTCAAGAAGAAAGAAAATGTGTTGTAACCGACGGTAGCAGCATATGTAAAATTATGCTTGATCTAATTGAATTATTGTTATAAAATCTGTAAATGTTCCCAATTAAATGCTTCTTTAAAAATAAATAATTGAATAAAGACAAGGACTTATTTACATAAAATCTGCTCTGGGCCAAATCTAGACAAACATTCGACATACACTACATTTTTCTAGACTCACCGTTTTTTCTTTATCTTCTTGTTTGCTTCCATCAGACTGAAACTGAAATTTTAAAAATATAAATAAAACACACAAAAATTAAGCTCATACTGTCAAAATTTCATTTCACTTGCAAGTGGTTTTGAATAGTTTCCTTATTTTTTACACACACAGGGCTTTGAATGTAGTCAGTATTACCAGTTTAATTTTTTAAATGTCATCTACATTTCTAATCTCCAAGCCACTCTTGACATCCACAAATTTTTAAATTTGAATTTTACAAATTATTTCCTTAACCCTCATTATTTCAAAACCAAGCATCCTAAAACTGAGTTTTGCCCTTACAGAATTAAACAATTGGAATATTAATGCAACAAAAGTGAAACATTACTAAGTAAACACACTTTACAGATTTAACTGACAACTACAGAAGCCTTCACTGAAAAAACTAGTTCAAATATTAAACAACATTGCTGACAAAGCTAAAGTCATTTTGCCTCACTTGAACAAATTGAATGAAAAGGCATAGGGCCACACAATATCTTTGATTCACAGGTCCCCCCAAGATGATATCCTTGAAAATGTATATTCATTTCAAATGAAACCAGAATGCTTATGTGTCCAGGCAGGGTGGGTTGCACACAGGACAAAATGACAACTGAAAACTGATAGCAAGGGAGTCTCTAGATTTCGAAGGAGGACTTAGCTCCATACCACGTAAAGGAAGTGATATACTTTTTATCCGGACAAAGGAGCCTATTCGGCATGGCTTTGCATGATTGAGGACTTTAATGAGTGTTGCCATATGGGAAGTTTAACTTCTGTATGACATTTAATTTAAGCCTCATTCAGAAGAAAGTTTTACCTCTTGAGCCTAATGTTAGTTGGATGGGAAAAATACATTGTTTCAATTAGCAAGGTAAAAGGGTATGGTTTCCTTTGACAGAAGCAATTATTAACTCAGGTAAGGCCAAAAGGGGCCTGACAAGGGGAAAAAAAATCTATCTCTCCCTTAATGTAGTGAGAAGATGCAAATTATGCTCCAACCTTCCCAACACAACTCCTGAAGACAGAGCTGAAGACAAAGAATAAGCAAATGTGGTGAAGAAAGCTGATGGTGCCCGGCTATCAAAAGATATAGCATCTGAGGTCTTAAAGGCTTGAAGGTAAACAATTGGCCATCTAGCTCAGAAGCAACAAAGCCCACATGGAAGAAGCACACCAGCCTGTGCGATCACAAGGTGTCGGAGGGATCAGGTATCAGGCATCATCAGAACAAAAAATCTTACATAGAGAATGAGGGGGGTGAGTGCGGAGTGGAGACCCAAAGCCCATTAGTAGGCCACCGGAGATCCCCTTGCAGAGGGGTCGCAGGGAGGAGACGAGCCAGTCAGGGTGCGATGTAGCAACAATGAAAAGTACAACTTTCCTCTAATTCCTAAATGCTTCCTCCCCACCCCCACTATCATGATCCAAATTCTACCTTGCAAGACTGGCTGGACCAGAGGGTGTACACTGGTACAGATAGGAACTGGAAACAGGGAATCCAGGGTGGATGATCCCTTCAGGACCAGTAGTGTGAGTGACGATATTGGGAGGGTAGAGGGAAAGTGCGTTGGAAAGGGGGAACCAATTACAAGGATCTACATGTGACCTCCTCCCTGGGGGGACAGACAACAGAAAAGTAGGTGAAGGGAGACAGAGCAAGAGATGACAAAATAATAATTTATAAATTACCAAGGGTTCATGAGAGAGGAGGGAGCAGGGAGGGAGGGGGAAAAATGAGGAGCTGAGGCCAGGAGCTTAAGTGGAGAGCACATGTTTTGACAATGATGAGGGCAATGAATGTACAAATGTGCTTTACACAATGTATGGACTGTGATAAGAGTTGTATGAGCCCCTAATAAGACGATTAAAAAAATAAGAAGAAAAAGAACCTTACAAATCAATGATAAAAACAAAATAACCCAATTAGAAACTGAGCAAGAGTTTCATACATCACTGAAAAAGGTTACTCGTGGTAATAAGCACATGAAAAGATGCTCAATATCTCATCGAGGGAAATGTGAATTATATACATTCACTAGAATGACAGAAATTTTCAATTCTATCAAGTGTTGTTAAGGATGTAGAATAACTAGATGGACTTCTAGAAATGCAAACTGGCACACTTGGGAACATTTATAGAAATTCCTTATATAGGGAAAGCACCATTCATATGAGCCAGCAATGGAATTCCAAGTGAACCAAAAATCTATGCTCTTTACCACCAAAAGACTTGTACAAGAAAATGTATAGCAGTTTTACTTATAGCTTATGGCTCCAATTAGAAACAAGCCAAACGCCCAATCCATCACATGTGAATGAAGCAGTACTCAGCAAAGAAAAGAAACTGTTGACACATACAACTTGGATGAATCTCAAAAACATATTAACTGGAAGAAATCAGACACCAAAGAATACTGCAACGTACCTATGCAATTTCATTTCTATGAAGTTACCAAAAAAGCAAAACTATAGTGAAAGAAAGTGTTATCAGTGATTGCTGAGTAACAGGAATGGAGGCAAGGAATTAACCGCAAAGGGACACAAAGAACTTATTGTGGACATTCAACTGCATACCATGGTCAAAATTAATCAAACTACATTAAAAACTGCTAGCATTTATTGTAAATTATACCTCCTCAAAGCAGATTACAAGCACAACAAATCACAAATGGACACCCTTAGTGGGTAGTGGGAACTACAAGGAAGGACAAGAGTGACCCTGGCGAGCTGGTGGTTCTTTGATTTCTGGATCTGGGTAGTAGGGATAGTTGCTGAGCTGTAGACTTATGTGGTGTGTACTATTCTCTGTATATGTTTTCTTGCAATGAAAAGTAGACTCGACAATATAAAAGAATGGATGCTCAATATTCTGTGGTTGAAGGGACTTCCTCTAAATAATGGTACTGATTCAAAATTGCAACCAAAGTAAAAGTAATTGATGAAAAGAAACAAAGCCTCAAAGACCACGAAGCTACTACTCATATGGGGTTTCAAAAAAGAGATCACTTGTCCAAAGAAAGGTCAGCTGTCACAAATGACCTGACCTGCTAGGTTATGTGCTGTATTTGGGTGGAAATTTTCAGTTAGTATACAATGGAGTTTCCCTAAACCTTAATCAATATAACCTTTGCTTAAAGTAGGCCCATTCTATTTTCCAGAGGTATGACACAACGAAACACAGAACACAGCTATTTTTAAATATAGTTTTCTACTTGAAAGAAAAGTTGTACTAACCTCCTTCATAAATGATTTCCCTATGCGAACCATTTTTGCAAATAAAATGGGATCATGAGACAGATGAGGACCAAGGTAACAGAACATATGGAATACATCTCTCCTCAGATCTTCAAAAGTCTCTGCTTGTTTGGGTGCTTTCTTGTTTTGCAAAGCAGCAACAGGTGAGCCTTTAGCACCTTTGGGAACGCCAACTCTATAACAAGAAGCCAAATTTACACATACTAAACAAGACCTTGCTAGCACTGTCATCTTAATCAGTACAATAAAACTTTTCTGGTTCATATGTACTTCCTATCTTTCAATTCTACCTCATCTTACATGACCAGATAATTCTTAGCCAGTGGGAAATGCACCAAAGCACAGCTTTTACAATATACCTGTATATTGTATACCTCTATACCTCTGTAACTGGTATATTGTATACCTCTATACCTGGTATAGACTTTAGGAGACAAGTCCATGATTATATCAAACTGACACACTCTCTAATGTTATCTCTGGATAAAAATACACTAAAATATATGCTTAATTTTAACAGACAGGATAAGTATTGCCACCTTTTTTTAAGCCTAAACTATTACTACCTCAGTAATTTTTGAAGCATCCCACAACATACCTTCGGTAGAGAGGCTCAATAATTATGTGAATGAGCCTGCAAATAGCAAGAGCTATTAGCTTATGTGAAGCTGCATAGTATGGAGGCATCTGGTCCATAATGTTCTGTGCATGCTGCCAATCACCGATCTTTAACAAGGCTTCCAACAAACCAAGTTTTTGGTTGTCAGGTAGCTAAAAATGAACAATCACAGCAAAGACATTTAGGAAACAGTAAGAAATCTTAGTATTATCCATGGAAAACTCAAGAATATTTTCCTGAAAAGAAAATGCATTTGGCAGACATTAGGAATGACAATTTATAGGCTTGCAATTAAACTAAGATTACATTTTGCCACAGGAAACTAGAACTCACTGATTTTTATTTGAAGGATCTTTCTAAGTCCAGAGAGGCAATAACAGATAAAGAATAAGTTGGAGAAATTTACCCATTTTGTGATTTTACTTAGAATGAAGTTTTGAAATTAAATATAAGAAAAAATGGCAGCCTCTTGTGGGAAACTGTCAGATTAAAAACAAACCGTCATTTGTAAATTAGAATCCCTAAAACCAGGTTTCATCATCATCAAAATCATTTAACAAGTGATGATTCCACAAGTTGATTAACTATTTGAATTAAAATTTCATAATTCTAAGTTCAGGAGACAATTCCAATTTTACAAGAATAAATTACATACCTTTTCTACTTTCTCATCTTCTTTTTCCTTTTCTTTTTCTCGTTCATCAAGTTTGTCAGAAGACAATACAACCATTGTAAGTTTTCTAACAATTTGCTTAGCTTCTATTATTTCTTGTTTGTGTTCATCCATAATGCAGCTATCAGCTGGAAGAAGCTAAAAATGATTCATCACAAGTTCATACAGCAACTACTATCAACTTGCTCACATAAAAAGACACTGTCTACTCTCAATAAATATGTAAATAAGCAATCGAGTTTATTCATAACCATGGTTTTCCCTTCTAAGTAAGTTTCTCTTGTAATTTTCAAAGTAATTTTTTTTATGGTTTGACAGGTTTAAGTACTTTAACTTGGGGCACCTTTTAAGATCACACAGCATTTTGAAATTTCATATCTTCTTTCTGCTAGAGGTCCTAAAGTTAGTGTGACACCAGTGATGCTTACCAAATACTAGCTTGCCAAAGAAAACATGCACCTGTTTTGTTAAAAATATCACTGATTTCCTCTTTTAAGACCAAATTCCAAGTTACATGAAATATTATATGTCATTCCAATTAGGGCAGTGGTTCTCAACCTTCCTAATGCCGCGACCCTTTAATACAGTCCCTCATGTTGTGTTGACCCCCCCCAACCATAAAATTTTCGTTGCTACTTCATAACTGTAATTTTGATACTGTTATGAATCGGGCGAACCCTTTGAAAGAGGGTCATTCGACCCCCAAAGGGGTTGCATCCCACAGGTTGAGAACCGCTGAATTAGGGAGAGGTGAGCTACTGAATCATGTTAAAGGAGTAAACTTTACTCCGCTAAATGAAAAAAAATCTCAGTTAAAAGTAGTGTATTCAGTCACCATTCCATCATGACAAAGGCTAAAGAGGAAGATGGTAAACATACAAACTTCATAAAATAACCCCAACATAAAGAAAAAATATAGCCAGTAAACCATTATTTTGGGGTTGAGCTATAGTGGGCTGTAAAAGTAGGGTTCCCACCCTCTAGAAATGTGCAATCTATTTCAGTATGTAAGTCTAATGCAAAGGAAATAACCAGTAAGCAATAAAGGGAATGTGGTAAAATATTAAACTCAAACATTTCTAAATAAATATCTTTGTGCTTGCTTTTAGTTCTACTACCCTATCAACCCCCAAACCCAAGCTCACTGCTATCAAGTTGATTCCAACTCCTAGCAACCTTATAGGGCAGAGTAGACCTGCCCTGCCTCTAACTTCATGCGCAAATCTCCAAATTCTCCCTTCTCTATATTCTCAGTCTGCACATCACTTCTGTGCTTTAAACCCTGAATAACTTTCTACTCCTGAGAAAGATCATCCAAATTACTTACGATAGCATGGAAGACCCTTCACAATGCAACCCCAGCTCACTCACTCCTCCATCCACATCTCCCCTACATGCCCTAGGTACCAATGACCCACGGAGACAATGAAGCCTTTTTTCGAATCTACTGCCTTTAAACTCTGCTCCTTCTAGCTAGAATCTCACCATTTAAGCCCCGCCAATACCTACTCATCTCTAATTGGTAAAATTCTTCCCAAATTCCTCGTAAGCAGAGATGCTATCTACCCTTAGACTCCACGGCATTTTGTGCATACCTCCAGCACTGGTTTATCTCCTTTGCTGTACTATGACAGCTTCCAAGATCGTGACTAGGTTTTACTGAACTTTGTAGTTGGACTGGTAACCAAAGCCCACAAGCCATTCAGCAAGTGGAAGATAAGGCTATCTTCTCCCAGAAAAATTTCCAGCCTCCAAAATTATGTACAATTGCTATGAGTTGGAATCAACTCAATAGTAGCAGGTTTTAAAGCCACAGTAACTAAGACTAGTCCATAAATAAATAAATACATAAGAATAGTCAGAAAGTAATTTTAAAGGCAGTGCAGATAATTTAAGACAGGTTTAAGTTCATTGATATCCTAATGCAAACCTGGAATTTTTATACTACAAACTTAGATTATTACACAATGATAGGTTGGGCTGTAGTCCTCTGTTACAATCAAATACACAATTTTCTAGATCATGGTCCAGCCATTAAAAAAAGTTTACTGTTAAGTCACTATCCACGCAAGGAAAATAATTTAAATAGACTAACAGTTTCCCATTTAGCCTGAATGCCTAAACATTTTTTTGAGAGAAGTAGCCCATGCTTCCCTTAAAACTGTATTATACAGAGAAGCCCAAACCACATAGTTAGATATTGGCTTCTCTCCTCAAAGTTTCAATAAAGATTAAGAACTTGAACTTCACTTCCAACCTCAAACTCTGTAAGTATTTGATTTCTACACTGTCAAAGAAAAGAACCTTAAATTCATGTATTCTATCAAATCAGCACAAAGTAGTAACATATAAAGGCTTTAAGAACTGATTGTGGGGTACTATATGACTGCCTACTCCTCTCTTCCCTTCTCCTGGCATAGACAAATATAATTTCTTTTTTTCCCTCAACGGTTTTTTTTTTCTTCCCCAACTTAGGTTTTATTTCATTCTGCAACATATTATTACATTATTACATGTTCTTTTCTACTTCATTAATGGCTACATAGTAATTTATTGTATGCATATGCCAAAATTTATTTAACAAGTTTCCTGTTTAAGATGTTAACATTGTATATCATTTTCCCTCTCGTTATTCCTCA